GTCTCTGTACTTGTCGCTATCTTCCACATATCTACAACAACACCGTGTTGGAGTAGGAATATATGTTCGCTACCCTTAGCTGAGCTCAGGAGTTTCCTCACTAATTATACGAGTTAGGGTAGAAGTATACGAAAACCAGCAAGAATTTCTCAAGTTTATTCACGATTTTTCTATTGTCGCCAACACATGGAGTTAAGCATAAGCATATCTTCCCATGTTACAAGCTGTAAAGTACTACACAGGTACAAGGTGCTTAGTGCCCTTGTTGTAGCCTACAACAGCAACCTCACCCCCTACTACTGCTGAAAACAAGCTCCGATTAAACTATATAGACCCTAAATTCACCAAGATGCTATTCAAACTACTGCCCTCCTCCGCCCTTCCTCCCAAGCTCACCTCAGTACTTGTCGAATTGAACTGTGCGTCGAACCAACCCGGCCAACTGAGACGTGGTACTCACAGAGCCGGACAGACAGACCAAGCAACTCACCCGTGAGAAAAATATAATCATGTAAGAAGTCCCTCGCGAGCTGCTGAATCTCCTTGGGGAATGTAGCAGAGAACATGGTGCCTGACCAACTACACTAATCGCAGCTCGACATCACAAGCAGTGAATGAAAGTTTATGTCAAGCGCAATTCCGTTCAAGAGTCCAGAAGGTGATTCTTCTGTGAGTATTTTTTCATTCTCGGAAACTTCCAAGATCCTCAAACCAGTGAGCGCAATAGGAACAAAGCAGTTGAACAGCGAATCGAAATTCATGAACAGCATCGTACGCACCATTTGATGAGAACAGATAAGCCTTTTCGCAACGAGCTCGGATAGATTATCGAGCTATTTATGTCCGTATTTTTGTAAGCAACAACCAACACATCAACTCTATCTCCTATCACCACTGCATAGTCTTGAAACTAAGTATTTTGTTGACAATCTCAACATGAGAGTAAAGCGCCCGTGCGTCAATGAAAACAGAGACGCTAACACGAGTTGTATCAGCGTCTCTGTTTTCACAAGTTGTATTTTACAACTAGCAGGGAAATCATCCACATGCACCATTTTAACACCAGTGTGCGAGAATATTCACATCGTCAACTACATGCGTCGGTGGTACTATCAAAATTCCGAGGGAATTCTTGTTGGTTTCTGTACACTCCTTCCCAAATTCGTATACAAACTGCTATCAACGTAATATCAAACATCGAAATTTATCGAATTCTCTGCCGTGTAACACACTATCTACCGGCTCATACTGCGGGCTCAGACAGCAGTGACTGAGCCTGCAGCTATACCTCTATACTAGCTATTACTCGCCTGGTCGAAGGGGCGCTGCGGAAGAAGAAGAACAAGAACAAGAAGAAGAAGAAGAAGAAGAAGAAGAAGAACAAGTAGTAGAAGAAGAAAAACAACAACAACAAGAAAAAGAAGAACAACAACAACAACAACAACAACAACAACAACAACAACAACAACAACAACAACAACAGCAACAACAACAACAACAACAACAACAACAAGAAGAAGAAACATCGTTTAGCACCATAAACCACCGTATGAGCGATCCGACCTACTTTGGCGTCCCTCGCGAGATGAAGGCATATCTTCTTGCTCAACGATACGTCTGATCTGAGGTTCAAATCCCATGTCCAGCATTCTATCAGCTTCGTCGAAAATAAGGCAACTGACTTGGCTCAGTGATATACGGTACCTTTAACATATGCGAGGATCGAACACACGCCCTCCAGCATAACAACTGCGAACATCACCACTCTACCAAAACGTCACACTCAGCACCTCTCGATTAAATCTGTCAATCTCCCCGGCGTTGCAACGAGTAAATCGCAGCCTCTTTCCAATTCCCTGAGCTGTAATCTTATCTCCGCTCCGCCGTATACCACCACCGATCTTATACCTACAATAACGCAGCGGCTATCGAACCAACAAAGAGCTCAATAGAAATCCCGAATGAGTGCGCGATGAATTACTTTGACTGAACTACGGACCGTCCGAGGGCACCAGACGGATCGAACGAGTCCTCTATGCCCCGAGATTTGCAGAAAGATCGAAAAACTCGAGTGCGCCCACAGCTTCAAGGAATATGTGCGAGAACAGTTTTTGACGGAAAAATGTCCAACCCGGGGATCGAACCGAGGACTAACTCCAGGATAGACTTTGCGGACTAATCGAGCTCCCCCCTTCGTCACGAGTCTTCGTCCTAGAGAGTCTATCTTAACTACACTTCACATATAAACTGCGTATTACACGGTGAACAAATCCCGAAAATCATTTTTCATTTTTTCGCCCAGAAAAAATCCGTGCCCAGTGGGTAGAGTGACCATGTGTTTATTAAGCACACCATCTATCTGATCTCCTCACGAAGTCTCCCGTCCCCCCATTTTACCAGTTCCATAACAATATTTCCTGGCTTCCTCGAATATCTGCGACGCGAGCTCCCTCGTAGGAGCAAGGACCTAAATCGATACCATCTTATCGACATTTTAGTTTTACTCGTGATATGAAAAACATTGATGAAATACATATTCCACAATTCACTCGAGTGAGTTATCGGTCGCGGAAAGACATAAGTTTCATAATTTTTCACAGAGTATTACGCCGCCCCGCCATCAACGGGTCGATCTTCATCGTTCCATAGCAAAGTGCATAGCAAACACTATTTTTTAAATTCTGATACTTTCGATCGATAACAACTATTATTATCTCACCAGCGACACTGGATAAGCCTTCCACCTTCCACCGTTCTTCACAGAGCTGTTCACTGATGCTGGCGGCCCCTCCTCGATCATTCTGTTAATTGTGGGTAGTAGGAACGCACCTGTAGATCAACACCACGGCACTAATTAGTCTATACAGTGTTGGAGTAGGAATATATGTTCGCTTTCCTCGGCTGAGCTCAGGAGTTTCCTACACAGTGTTGGAGTAGGAATATATGTTCGCTTTCCTCAGCTGAGCTCAGGAGTTTTCTATACAGTGTTGGAGTAGGAATATATGTTCGCTTTCCTCGGCTGAGCTCAGGAGTTTTCTATACAGTGTTGGAGTAGGAATATATGTTCGCTTTCCTCAGCTGAGCTCAGGAGTTTTCTATACAGTGTTGGAGTAGGAATATATGTTCGCTTTCCTCAGCTGAGCTCAGGAGTTTCCTATACAGTGTTGGAGTAGGAATATATGTTCGCTTTCCTCAGCTGAGCTCAGGAGTTTCCTATACAGTGTTGGAGTAGGAATATATGTTCGCTTTCCGCAGCTGAGCTCAGGAGTTTCCTATACAGTGTTGGAGTAGGAATATATGTTCGCTTTCCTCAGCTGAGCTCAGGAGTTTCCTATACAGTGTTGGAGTAAGAATATATGTTCGCTTCCCTCAGCTGAGCTCAGAGTTTCCTATACAGTGTTGGAGTAGGAATATATGTTCGCTTTCCTCAGCTGAGCTCAGGAGTTTCCTATACAGTGTTGGAGTAGGAATATATGTTCGCTTTCTTCCTCAGCTGAGCTCAGGAGTTTCCAAAACAGTGTTGGAGTAGGAATATATGTTCGCTTTCCTCACCTGAGCTCAGGAGTTTCCTATACAGTGTTGGAGTAGGAATATATGTTCGCTTTCCTCACCTGAGCTCAGGAGTTTCCTATACAGTGTTGGAGTAGGAATATATGTTCGCTTTCCTCAGCTGAGCTCAGGAGTTCCAAAAAGGAGTTTATATACGACTTATGGGAAACGTATACCAAAACCCACCTAAATTCCCCAAAATTGTACACATAGAAATAACCGTCTTCGTATTTTCCCACACTGCATGAAGCGAGTACTACGTTCCAACTTGGTTACTATATTTTCACTACAGGAGAGCCTCTAGAGCGACTACCAGTCTTGCCGCTCCCAGTCTGCGCACACGCCATCAGATCACGTTTTGCCATAACAACAGGTATAGCATGCTTCTGCACAGGTGTCGGCTTCGTATATCCACATCTACAACACCACCACCACCACCCTGTGACCGCTGCGCCACAAAACTATCCCCTACTTTTCAATATTTCTCAATATGCCTGCATCTAGCTTCGCTTCGCCGAAAGAATCAATATGGCCGATCCCAGCAGCGCCCTTCCCAGACACCTCCGTTGGAATTTTATCGTATCTTATTACCAACATAACACCAACTACACACATAAAATTGGAGGGAAGAGAGCGAGCCTTATAATTGCTTGTTATTAACCGAATCGCACGCCGGAGTTCTCGTGGTACAACTGTTGTACCGTAAATCTTTCAATTCACATCACTACCAGGTCTGCTACTATTCCTACTCGTTGAAATTGATTCCAGTCGTCATAGCGTTACTCTGCTCGAAGATCTCTCGAGCGTCTTCACAGACTGGCCTGCGACCTCCACGTCTCAACCAAGTACCATCTCCTAACAGGACGCAAGTTCGATCCCCAGTAGAGGCATTTTTCCACTACCTCTGGACGCTGGCTGGGACCAGTCTAGACGATCACTAGACATATGTGTCGGCCTAACAGCGCGAATAACGACAGTATTTCCCTACCGACCACTATCGCGAAATATTCAACTATTCGAATAATCAATCCGTGTGTTGTGCCAATGAATTCAAGTACAAACGTGAAGCAATGATCCTGTTTCGCTTCGTTCGAAATGATGAGGAGGGATGCCATCAAAGTGCCATATGCGGATTTACCGAGGAACTCGAGAACACTGTATAATTGTGGCTGAAGTCAATCACTCTTTCGAATGGGTTTTCAGGTGGATGAAATATCTCTCATATAGAAAACGTTCAGTAAGCATTTATAAATTCTCTATTGAGAGCATCTATTAGCGATCATAGCTGACATGCTATGCCAACCTATGGTGGCGCCAGAGGCCCCACAGAGCGTCCAGCTGGGCATTCCAATATTTCCCTCCCGATTTTATCATAAAAATTCATCCTTGATAATTTACAATTTATCATAAAATTACTATTCCCATCATAAACTACGTAAGTAGGGAGCCTCTCCCCAAACCCTCTATTACTCTTTCTTCGACGCAAATCCAGACAGGGAGGCGATCGGCGATCTCCCATCGCCGTAACTACTCGAAGCGAATCTCCGCCGACCGAGATTACTCTTAACACCATCTTCTGCGTAACCACTAGTATATCGACGATTACGGTAGCCTGATAAAAGCGTGCCATTTCTCGGGCATATTCTTATCCACGTTATTGAAGTTTCACAGACCAATTCATGAGCACTGAACGTTAAATAAGAACTATCCCCCTCACCTCGACGGTCGTCTTTGCTGCTGGAGTGATGAAAGTGTCTAAAGATAGGCAGAGTCTCAACCATTCGGTTGGATGCATTATTATACTACGCGAAAGCATCGTTTTCCCTTTCCTTGACTCTTCCGCTGTGTTCCCTGTTTGCCAGACTACCGTGATTCCAGGCGGATGAAGAGGTTTTGAGAACACTAGGGCTGAAGGACTCCTCGAGATGTCTGGTGCCCCTCTAAAATACACTCAGTCGGTATCGAACCAGCAACCTCAAGATTGCCAACCAACAATCCTACCACTAAACCAACAATCTTACTTGCGGAAGAAACGATTGACCATCGGCGACGGTCCCGGCTAGCTGGTTACGTTTATATGGTGGAATGTATCTACAAGAAGGCAGATGCACTATCTCTCATTGTATGTGCAGTGAGTAAGAAGTTACAAACTTCCAGTTTCGATCACTATTTTCAAGATCCTATCCCATAGTCGACCCGTATTAGTAGAACCCAACGATTTAATAAGGGCAAACTCAAATTTAGTGACCTATAATCTTGAGCTGCAAATTCTATACTGTGCGCAAGATTCGCTATGATTTCCGATAAGTGCCAGTGAAATGCAGTAGCATGCACAATTACGCACCGTCATGTAGTAGCAATAGCATCAGAAGGTTTGTAATAAAATGAAAATCAGCGTAGTGTCTTCAGGGTTAGTCCAGTTCAACGGTGGAACTCCTACTATAATCGAATGTACCCGAGACCTTTCGTTGGTAATTATAGATGCGTTTCCAACTCCGTACCGTATACCAATGTTGGAGTAGGAATATATGTTCGTTTCCCTCAACTGAGCTTAGGAGCTTACTCACTAGTTATAGGAGTTTATATACGAATTAGAGTACGACCCCGAAAATTTTCATTCTGTCGCGCCCCACACATGTAGTTGACCATACTGTTCATATTTTCCCACATAGTAATAGTATCGAAAAAAAGTAAGAAGATAATTAATTTTAAGAAATTAATTATCTCAAAAAAGAGGAGTAAGAAATTTTCAGTATTTGATATACTTTTCATGTTGTATAATAATTGACCGATCCCTGTTAGAAAAATCCCGCCATACCTGGCAGAAGCCATTTTAACATTTCTATTATCATCTTCCTTAACAACAGGTTCACTTATCATGATGTAGTGGTGGTGTTCTAGAATGCTACAAGTACACTTAAAAGTAGTGGAGACAGACAATTGAAACAAAATGCGAAAATCTGGCGGAGCGATGCACTCTACTGCGGAGGTGGCGAATGTAATTCAACTTGTAGTCAAATGTCCCACTCTTGGTCACGTGGTTCAGGTAGGGTGGTTTGGTACGAGCCGACCCTACAAGTATCGATGAGAGAAAGCCACTCAGAGACAGTGAGTCTGAGTGGCAATCA